CAGCAGGTATTGTGCCTAATGGAGTTCAGACATTCCTGTTGCTGGCACTGGATTTTTTATTTCTTTCCCCCATTCTGGAGAGATGTCTCTACAATGCTACTAGAATAACTTTAAGTGATCCAGTGAGAATTAAATGAGAGAAAACGAAAAACTAATGCAGATTTTTTTTTCAGCACCCCTTTCTGTGGTAACATGTCAGTTGAATCTTTACTGTTTAAGCCAAGATATGGCTCATGAACAAACTGTCAGAAATGAGAGGGTATGTGCAGTTTCTGATTTGTCAGTCATGGTTTTGCTCCACTCTTAACAGAGGGAGCGCAATGCAAACAGCATATTAGATTAGGTATCAGAATAGCATTTGAATTAATAGCATCTTATTTCTTAGCATTGCACTTCTCTTGGCAGCACTGAGCTAAATCTTGAGTTGGGCATCTCCTAGAGACTTGCTTTTCCAAAAGAAATGTGATTGACAAGGTAGCAAGTGTACTCTTCCCTTGGAGTACATTGTCTTAGAGTTACACCAGCACCAGACTACAGTATTTGGGAGCCGTGGGTGATTGCTTGAGCTGACCTCTTCTCACGAGACCACGCTGGGAGTTTATTTAGAGGATTTGTTTCTGTGACATGTTCTTGCAGCAGTGTGTGGTGTTCAAATCATCAAGGAAGGCTGCAAAAATGTCACTTTGTTTTATTCCCTCGGTGCAACAAACCACCCATTTGATTTGTGTGACGAATGTCACTTTGTGTTTTATTCCCTCTGTGCAACAAACCACCCATTTGATTTGTGTGACCAGCTAAATATCCATCCTGCAGACTGTATTCTGTCAAAAAGATGGTTCTCTTTGGAGGTTTCTTGCTGTGATCCCCATGTATAATTTAAATGGCAAAGAAAACTAGTCCCTGGAGAAGTTCAGCTTTCTGCAATAAATATTACTATTTTAGTCCTGTAAAATCTGTTTTTGTGTATTTTTGGATTCCTTCCCTGTGTTGTCCATAGTAAAATAATTTTGCATTACTCCAGTGCCATCGCAATTTGACGTATAATGTGCTTATGATATTACTTGATTTAATAATTCTGATTAAATTCCTTTTTTGTTATGGTAATTCAGAGCATAATGTAGACCAAGCATTGCTGGAAAGTGCTGTCCCTGTTATCTCTGCAGTCCTTCAGGAGCACCTCCAGAATGGACCAGTTACAGAGTCTGCTTGCTCAGCTCTATGGGCTTTGTCCCTCCAAGGTGTGTTTTCCCAGTCTGTCCCTTGCACACTGAATAGACTGATACATCAAACACTTCTCTCTGTCAGTGGTGATCCTTGAAATTCAGGCTGCTTGGCCTTAGCAGGCTCTGCAGATGGCAGCAGAGTTAGGAACTTGCATCCTCTCTTAACCAGTCTTCCGTGCACTTGCTCTCCAATGCTCCCTAATGAAGCAGTTTTTGAGCTGTAGCAGTTACATAATGAGATACTGCTGCTGGCTGCTGCAATGATGGGCAGCTACAAAACCTTACTGCGCAGAGCGTTCCCTCTGGCTTCTCTCTTCAAACCGAGAATCCCATTGGTGTTACTGCTTTGAACACAGCGTTAGTGTTGTGCAGCAGAGGCTGGGAGGTTTGTTTTTATACGGTTTGCTTTGTAAATTGGGAACAATATTTCAGATTAAAAATTGAAATCTCTCTCATTATTATATGCACTAAGGATGTCATCCTTGCAATACTGTTTCCTTATTTCTTCCTCATGCAAGTATATTGCCATGTTTGCCTACTGCCCTGCACTTCTGCCATTGTTCCACCAGGAAGAGCTGAATAAAACACCCTCAGCAGTCACATTTCTAGTACCCACCAGTAAAATATGTTGAATATTTAGGACTCCCATTACTTTTGGCTTGGAGAATGAAAGGAAATCTTGACATAGATGATGTATCTGAAATTTTTCTTAGACCTTGGAATCAGCCCATGAGACTTCATTTGGCCTTTTTTACTATAATACAGGTTTTATGTGCTTTCTTTGTAACTTTTATCACCTAGGTAAAAAGTTATTTCAGATACAGAAGTTGAATGCTGATGAGTGTTTTAAAGGGTTTTGATTATATTGAAGTTTTGGAGTTGTGTGTGTGTGTGTTTTGTTTTTGTTTTTTTTTTGAAGGTTGCTTAACCGAAAATGAGTATGAGCCCACAACAGTGCTTTTGCTGGATGCGCTCAGGATGAACCCAGAAAGACCATTGCTGGTGAAGAACACCTGCCTGGCATTAGCAAGCCTCCTAAGGCTATCTGGTAACATCCAGCAATTTTTATTTTTTAAAAAACTAATTGTAAATCAGCTCAGAAGTGGATGTTTGTGTAGTTCAGGAGTTCATAGTGGGATTGGGATTGACATCTGCTCTCCTGGGTTAATCTCTTCTTGCAGGACTGGAGGAGGAAATAGTGAAACTGGAGGTGCAAGTATCTTTTTCTTCCCACGGACCCAACAAGCATGTACGAGAAGCATTAGATCAGTATAATCTGATCTGTTAGGAACTCGAGTGTTTTGTTACTTTACAATGAAGTTGGTCCAACTGTGTAAAAGGGTAGAGCTCAATCAGTATGACAAGAGTAAACATGAGAATATTGCTTCTGCCATGCATGACAGTGTTGACTGTACATGTGTTCTTCTGCTTATTCCCCAAATATACTTCTGAATGGCTTTTAGGAGGGCTGAAAATAATGGACATGACTTCCTGGAAAAACATTACAGATGTGCTAGCTGGAGCAGGGGACTAGAAAGCAAATAATGTAGCCTGCAGCTACCAATTAGCCCAGCACTGTTTGTCTCCCTTCCAGAAATAGCAGCTTTGAGATTTATAATGGATGCAAAAGGCAGTGGAATAATCCTGATCGGAGATGCCTACCGCCTTCACTTTGATGATCTAGAAGTGGTGGAAAGTATCGGTATGCTGATTAACGAGATCGTTCAGCATGGTAAGATGGTGGTGGTGTTTGACAAGTCTCTTCCTTTCCCCCATCCCCAGAAGACAGTAAAGAAAATCCTACCACCTCAGGGACGAGTTAGTTGCTCTTGGGAAAGACATGCTGTGTATCTGAGAAAGGATGATGAATTGGAACTGAGAGTTCATCCCACTTGTTCTTGAATAATTATAAATGTTTCTCTGATGTTTTAATGTTATAACCTCATCTTCTCTTGCCTTCTGTCTGTGTAGATCTGTCCCCTCCCTGCTCTCCTTTAGCTGTAGCCATAAATTATCCTGTTTGCTTACACTGCAGATGAGGTTGTGCTGGATACGTTGTCCCAGAAAATGGAGGAACTGCTGTCTGAACTAAAATACCGTTTTCCATCTAGCATGGTATGTAGAAGTCACTGTGATAATAAAGGGTGGATGCTTAGTTTATTATTTGTGGCTATGGATTTTGTAATTCTTGAATAGCTGGAATTACGTAGTGCACGAAAGTACAGAATTGTGGTCTATGGGATGAAGAGTGAGTTTGTAACGACATTTTTAACTACCGAAAGCAAGTAGTTGGAAGCTTTTTCTTTATGCTGTATTTTTTAAAAACTATATTCCGATCTCTTGCAACATTGCATTGCATTAATTTACTATATTCTTCATACTAAAACAGGCTAAAGATCACAGGAATAACGCATAAATGCATTACATCCAATTATTTTTGCTTTTTAAGTGACACCCCTGGAAGAAGAAAAACCAAAATGCAAACAACAAACCAAACCCTTGTGACAGTTTGCCTGAAGATTTAACTTATATTACATTCCAACAAGTAGTTGCACTGAAAAAACTGTTGAATAACTTTGCTGTTTCTGGTGTTTCAAGCTATTTGATGTGTTACACTAACACCTCCTTTGCAGTAGCTTGCTGTCAAGAAACCAGTAATTACAAGTTTTTTCATCAAGCCAATCAAACTGGTTGGTCTTACAGTTACAGCTCTTTTTACTTATGCATTTCGCCTGCTTACATAATTTGTCTCAAAGACAGTTACACACAGACTTGTTCTCCAGTGTCTCCTGCATGCATTGCCTGCACCATTTGAATGGACACTGAAGCTATCAGGTAGTGCAGGAAAAAAAAAGAATCACAGAAGAGAGGAAAGCTTCCTCTTCTGTTGTAAACGTCATTTGTTCCCTTGCTGACAGCACAGACAAGACCAGAACACTCTTGTTCTGGCAACAGTGTGCGACACCAATTCCTTGTTACCTTCCAGTATCTGTTTAGAGTATTTAAATCACAACATTAGTATTCAGTTTGATAATTACAGTTGCTTTGGATTTTGCAAAATCAGCCACTCATTTAAAGGCCTATGTTAGACACAGTGTTTTTATTAATAAAGGGATATAAAAATAAGGGAAGCGACAAAGTGATCTTGTATTTGACAATTCTCGGATTTCTCTCCAGGAGATAATGACCCTTGTGGATGCAACGCTTTTGAAACTCCAGAAATAGAAGAAAAACTTTCTGTAGAAGAATAAGACTTGTGCACTTCTGGTTCAGATATAAAAGCTTGGATCCTTTGGAAATATTTTTAAAGATTTTTCTCACCAGAAAGATTAATACTGGACCACTAATAATACATAAACAGTTACATATTCTGTAGATTTAGGTACCACAACTGTAAGATTAACAGCAATAATTACAAACACACCTTACTTTGTAGACTCTAAAATATTTGAAATAAAGATTTTAGTCTTGGGAGTTTCTTCTTTCTCAATTTTTCCTTTGTAAAAACTGAACTGATGGAGTACTTCACTAACGCAGGCATTTCTTACAAGTGTTGTTTAAACACCACGGTAGGCATTAGCATAGGTTCCATCCAGCAAGGGGATACCAGCAGTGTTCTGCAATGGCAGCAGTGACCTTCCAGGTCACTACCTACCTACTCCCTTTTCATTGGTTGTATCACGTAGCTGCTGTCAGTTCTGAGCTCTCTCTGAATTTGCCCTGGAATGTGACATGAAACCAGCAAATGCTGCAGATAAAAACACAGGGTAGACTTACTCAAGTTTTACAATTTTTCTTGTTAGGTTTGTTCTTAACAGCAGCTTCCCATTTCTTTTTCTCTAAGGTGTACAGTCTCATAGCTGCTTGCGCATCCTGAATCTAAAAGAGAACAGAACAAACAGGAGGCTTAACAAAACACAGCTGACATGGTTTAAGGACATTGTTGATAAGCAGCTAAAGCTTCTGTCATTCTGATATATCCTTTCAATTAACATTTCATAATCTCTTTCTAGACTTAGGTTCTGTGACTAGTGGAAGGGGATGAATGTGTACTCGGAATGCAGTGCCTCCTGCAAGGCTACACATTTATCTTTCTGATCCTGACTTGGAAAGCCACAATGAAAAAATACTTTTAATACAGTATCTTGGAGATCCCCTCACAATTTGACTGGCTTTTTCAGTTCATTCCTCTATTGCATCCTCCTCTCCACTGAAAGAAAGGAACTGCTGAGATTCAGTAGCAGGCTCTCATGCTATTTTATCCAATGTGCCAGAGTACAACGGTGCAGAATGCTGGTAAGCAGTTAATACTTAAGAATTACATTCTTCCCCAGATATTTTAAAATAACAAGAACAAAAATTCTGTTTAAACAAAATACAGTTGACTTGTGCAAATGAAGTTGATGAAAATAAGGAAATAATCCAAGTAGTATGAGACACAGAACAGTAAGCAAGCTTAGATGGCCATCTTAGTGCATGCTGGTGTCCAAGCAGAGCTTGCTAATGTTCACTGAGAGGCTCCAATGGTCACAGCATTCTGGATTAAGCCCAGATCCTACAGCTAATGTCTAGTACCTTGCTGATCCATCCAAAAATATATCTTCTTGATGATATACATACCGAGCAGTGCTCTGATGTCTGTACTTGAACATTCAGCAGTCTCTCACAGAGCAGTTTCAATGATGGCCGTGAATTCTAGAAATAAAAAAAGATAGAATTGTGCTGTCTTGCACTACTTGAAATATATACCTAGATGAGTGTAATTTATGAAAAAATGTAAGTTTAAGTGTATTCCTCAAAGTATAGCTCATCTCAGCTTCTACTGGTGAACAGTCAAGAAGAATTAATGACTGATGAGATATACGCATGCACTGCTGAGAGGATTTTATGTCTATTTACCAGAGCTGCAAGATTAATGTTTGGGGTGCTTTTTTGTGTAAAAGAAAACCTGAGTATATAGTTATGAAACTTGAAAGATATCCCTGTAATTTGAACCTTTACTCCTGCAGTCTAAGCAGAAGCTTGAAGCCATATATTTTTTAATATATCCCTAAGGAAATGATACCACTAAGAAGATCACATAAGCCTCACTGTAAGTAGAATGGTACTGGCTGATTTTACTGTCCAGGAAAGCATTATGAAGAACATGCAAATGCTAAAGAATGGGAAAGCCACTAAGTTGTGTGCATAGGTATTAAGTATTCAACTAGACCAGTGTTTTCAAATGACTAAAAGCAGGCATCTCTGTTTCAGGTAGGAAAGAAGGAACAGGGTCAGGTAAGGGCAAGTGTGGGAGGAGTGAGCTAACAGCTCAAGAGTCAGTTAATTGAGGTGCACCTTTCCATCAGCTTCTTACCTTGACTCTCTGTCTGAAAGGCTTGTATCTTTGTGTGTCACGTATTTTCTTCTTAGGATGATCAAGAAATAGGACCTACAAGAAATTACACTTACAGTGTAAAGTGAGCAGTTGCATGGAAGTTTATACAGCTGAACGTACAGCTTCCTGCTCTTTTCTTCCATCTGTTTAGTTCAATACCATGAATGGACAAGACCAAGATCATCCAGACCCTGGCTGAATTAAAAAACACAATTCTACTTAGCATAAGAAAGAGAAATCAATGTGGAGGCACCACCTGTAGTGCTGGTACAGTGTGATGTAAGATACCCATCTCTGGTAATGATGACCAGACAGCTGAGCTCTGGGGGCTAAGCAAGCATGCAAATGGTTTTGGGTTTTCTTTCATCATTCTGTTTCTTTCTTGGCTCTTATATAGGCAGATCAGTGCTATTAGCAACAGAGTTTGGAAGCTGAAGAACTGTAGTGGGCAAGTGACTAGGGCTGTAACTGGTGCAGCATGAAATGACAAGAAACTGAGGTAACAGTGATAAAGCTGTAGTTTCTAGAAGTTCAGGTGTGTTCATCTGATCCAGAAAGATGTATTAGAAATCTAATAAATATTAAAATTTGTGGAGCCTTGTCCTCAAAATAGCTAACGTGCAGCCACGTACCTTTAGATCATTGCATATAGCATGTCCAACTAAAATCCTCCCATTCAAGATGTCAGCAACCTCCTTCTGAACAGTTTTAAAATCCTCACCTAAAAACATCACACAAGAAAACACTCGTAGATACATAAGACAACTAAGCAAGCTACAATTAAAACACTGCATCTTTTCTGTGAAAGCAATTGTGTCCCTGGGATTGTAGTTATACAAATTTGTACGGTGCAATAAACTTTCTGCTTTCACAGGAACAGAAACGATTCCATAAAGAGCACAGCACTAGAAGGAAACAGACTTCCTATCATTCCCATACCATAATCCATGAGTTAATTTCTTTTAGGGCATTAGTGACTACTCTGTAAAAAGTACTTCTTCCCACTGTTTTATTTAGCATTCAGACTACATTCTGCTTTTTATTTCCCAAAATTGGTCTAAAACTTTTCCCAGCTCAGCCAATGAGGCTCATGTGATAGCCTGTGACATTTTTCCTCCTTAAAGAACATTTTTGGGAAAAAAACCCCTCCTACCTGTATTTATATTCTCAGGGCGTATGCCACTAACAGCTGTTCTGTAATCAGTCACCTCTTCTGTAGGCTTGACATACTTGTCATAAACGCACTTTCCAAATTGGTTCACGATGGACACGCGAGCCACGATGCTGTCTTCACCCTTGGGTCCCACTCCCACCATCTCACAGTCCATGGCCACGGCTCGCGTCAGCCTGCAAGACAAAGGACAGTGTGGTGACACCTCTGTCACAGGGACTGCACACTGGAGTTCACGAGGTTCATGTGTTGACACGAAGGGGGGCAACTCAGCAGTTTTTCTGGCAGCAGACTTGTGGAGATATCAGCTTACGCTATGCACCTGCGAATCACAGTTATTAGGAGATAATCTTGATGCCTCTGCTGCCAGCAGAATTCCTGTGGGAATGCCACTCACCCTTCAGAAGCCTTTTCTTTAACCAGCACCTGCTCCACAGACTGTTTGGATTGGCCTGTTTCAAGTCCCAGATTTCTTCTAGCAATCTTTGCTGCTTCAGGTCCTATTGCTGCTTCAATATCTTTTGGATCAACATCATCAAACCAGATTTCAGCCCTGGTAAGTACAGATGTAATTACATTTAACAGTCTTAAAGCAGTCTTGCATCTTTACAGTGTAGGAAAAGCATATTTATTTCTTAAATCAAGAAACTAGCTCTGTGAAAATTACTCTAGTATAGTCACCTATGCAAGTTTGTTGCTATATCTGATGGGCAGGGGCAGCATGCATCTTTATTTCTCACAAAATTTAATCTGGAAAAGTACAGCTGTTTTGGATGTAATTCTCTGTGCTCCCTATGTACACCTCCCCAAATAAATATTCACGTATGATGCCTGAAGTACTCACTCTTTGGGTTGCTGCTCTGCATGTTCTTCAGCTTTCCTCCTCTTATGTTTTATACCACCTTTCTCCTTTAAAATATTGCCATTTTTCTTTTTTTCTTTGCAACCTTTTCCATCGCTTTTGGTGCCATTTAAATTCTTATCTGTTGCAACTCCCTTGGATTTTGACTTTTCCAAAGAAGGATTGCCTTTAGTAGAGGTATTGTCCGTTTTATTTGTGGCTTTGGCCTTTACCACATTCCCATTTATAGCTGGGACTTCTTGGCCGGTTCCTGCTTTGAGTGGTTGCTTCGTTTTGGTGTGTGTTTGACACGTGGAGAGGGACTCGTTGGAGCTATTCGCCTTTTGCTTCAGTAGCTAAAATGACAAAAAAAGAAAGGAAAAAGGGGATTATCTCCCTGTATTTGACCACAACATCATTCCCCAGGGCTCCTGGCTTTCTCCCTCAGTAGCAAGCAGCCCTGTGCACTGGCTCGATCTATGGCCATTACTGGCAACATAGCGCTTTATTTCTTGACATTATTATTATTATTATTATTATTTCCAACATGGGACTGCATTCAGGGAATGACCGCACGGCTCTGGCCCTCCTCGGGGGCTGGCCCCGGCTCGCCCCAGGCGCATCCCCCCGGGTCCCCTCACCTCCTGCAGCGCCTTCCAGTTGGAGGAGAATTCCTGGGGACT